AAGAAAGTCGATCGTGGTATAATGCCAGCATAGCTAAATCAGACTTGCCGTTTCGCACGTTCTCCTCACTTTGACCAACGTACATATTCAAGAGCTCGGGCCCCTTGACACTTAGGAAAGCAATTTTGAACTCCGTCGCTACTGCTGAAAAAGTGGTAATCTCAGACGTCTGTTACGTGAAGATATTGTGAGAACTGACCTTTGGCAATTAGCGTCTTCCCACACCCAGGCGGCCCAAAGAGCATAATGCCAGATCTTCGAAGACCCAAACCGTGCAAATTTGCCTCTATGCTCTCAATGATTAGTTCTTTGATATGCTCAAAACCGCCAACGTCGTCCCACGACACTGAAGGAATCTGAAGGTAAAGCAAATTTCTTATTGAAAAATCTGAAAAATTCACCGAAGACAAAGTGAATGGTCCACTAATCTTGATGATCTTGAAGGCATCTACAAAGCTGCATAGTAGAAAATAAGGTAAATGGGAACGATCTGAAGGAAGTCTTTTACAACTTCCTTCATACAATTTCCTTTACGCTGCCATTCATCCCTGAAAGAGTCAGCGCCAGCCTTGGGAAAACCACTATAATGTACTACTTCTCAATGATGAGCTAGCCTGATTCGCCTCACGACTTCACGATCGCCTGTGTGCCACCTCAAGCCGCGTGGTCGGTCTTGCCACAGAAAGGGTGATTACACCTTGTTTGGAGTGGTCCGCAAGATGACTTGCCTCGGTTGTCGTGATATTTGGTGGTAACACAGCGAGACTACTCCATGTTAGAATCGAAGAGCACTTACATGGCATGAATCGGGTAAAAGAGTTCACTGCCCTGGAAGCGTACAGTATTCAATGGAATAACGAAGACGTTTTCAGGTCACAGTTCAGCCCTCGGAGTCGCAATTGTGTGCGTCCAACTCTCTCATTTCCAGTACAGGACACCTGTTCAAAAACCCGAGGAAGAATACCTCAAAATCACACGGGAACTGACAAGGGAGTTTCACAAGGGTGATCGGGGTGACATGTATGTAATTTATAGTAATAGTGTTTTCAAAAGGATAATCTCGATTCCACCCTTCGAAAGTGCTGAATGATATTGAGAATTTAGCCAGAGGACCATTCTTTTGTGTTATGTGTTATCACTGTGTTGCATAAATAAGCAAAAAGTTGGGGTGTCAATGGACTCGAACAATGTAGTGTAGATGTTTGGAACACTGCTGCTTTTGCTTTTTGATAAAATGTGTCCCCAACGCTTGTCAAATGCTTTAACGCTTCATATTAATTATTATTAATAGCCCCCCCCCCTCGCAACCGTGTAAAACTGTAA